ATGCCCAATGACAAGCTAGAGCAGGGGTCCCCGTCTGCAGGCCACACTGGGATTCTGGCACAGGGCCAGTAGGCACACGCACAACATGGCTGCCGCAAGAGGCAGGGCCAACCACAGAATTTCAGGGAGTGAGGTCAGATCAAGCCTGTAGCTACAGTGGGGCATCTCGGGGCTAGGCCCCCTGACGCACTGGCAAGGCCCCCCCATGACTTCCCATCCAGTCCAGGGCCCCCGAGCAGTGGCAGGTGGGGGGAAGGAGCCGGGTATCAATTAGCCAGTCCCCCCTAAGAAATTTAAATGCCCCCCCGACTTAAAAAATCCTAGCTATGGGCCAGGGTTAAATATTAATAGAAACCCTTCAAAGTTTCAGGCAGAAGCTCTGTTTAGCAGAATGCCTCTTAATCTGCCCAGCTGTTAGAAGCCCTGTGGGGCAAAACACCCACCGAGCCCCGCCCACTTTTAAAAATCATTGGCAGGTGCCAACCGAGCCCCGCCCACTTTTAAAAAGCATTGGCAGGTGCCAAGAAAGGTGATGGCAGGTGCCAGGGTGCCCATGGGCATCACAGCGGGGGGGGGCTGAGCTGCAGGCGGGATTCTGGCGGCCCCCACGCCCAGCCAGGGAATCCCAGGGCTCGGGAGGGCTGGGCTGGATCCACCGTGGCCTTCCTTGGGAGCTCTCCTTGGTGCTTCAGAGGGCAACAACAAACAAGATACCTGGAATCAGCGTCCTTAAGCTGGGGGTGGGGGGTGTCTCTGTTGAAGCTCAGTCCCATCCAGGCCTCGTGAGCTCACAGTGCTGCTGGGGAGCAGGTCAATATTGTGAGCTTTGTAAGGGAAAACTACTCCCCATCAGAGAAGACACTCTGCACAAACTCAGAGGCACGCTCCGACTTTGGCACCATTTCTAAAAAAGCAGTAACAAATCTACAAAAACCTGCCTCTGCACAGTTACCATGCAAGCCCACTGGGGCATCTGAAACCATGGCAAGCAGTGATCCCTCTAAGCTGAGTTAGTGTGAGCTGGCTCACAGCTTCTTAGCCTCTGGCTCACAGCTTCTTAGCCTCTGGCTCACACATGTTTGTCTTCGCTCAGGAAGGATGGCTCCAGAGCAGTGTTCCTTCTAAGCTGGGTTAGTGTGAGCTGGCTCAGTTTTTTTAGCCTCCAGCTCACACATTGTTGTCTTCGCTCAGGAAGGATCGCTCCAGAGCAACCTAATTTATGCAGTAGCCAAATCGCTCGCTCACAACTTTAATCCCAGTAGCTCACAAAGTAGAATTTTTGCTCACAAGACTCCACAGCTTAGAGGGAGCATTGGTGCAAGGGTTTGGAAAGCCCCATTGTAACTGTAAACATTCCTGGGAAATCAAGGGCATTTGCTGCTCCAGGACCTGGGGGGGGGGGGGGCAGGTAGCGGGGTGGAGACACTGAGGCAAGGCACCTACAGAGGCTGCTCTCCAAAATCCACCTGCTGTGGATTTTGCTCACCTTACCTCATTGCAGAGCTAGCCATGATGGTCTTTTATCGATGCCCAGGAGCACAGGCATGCATAGAGTAAAACATCACTGGTGATGAGGAATCTTAATGCAGTCATATGATTGATTGCATCAAGGCTGCTTGGCAGGCAGTTTTGCCTCTGAGTGTGGGCATGTGGAAAAGAGGCAAATTTATTATTTATGCCCAGTTTACCTCCCCAATGAAGACCCAAAGTGGCTGACGTCATTCTCCTCACCTCCCCTGTATCCTCACACCAGTCCTGCAAGAGAGGTTCGGCTGAGGCTGTGTGACTGGCCCATGACCGCCCAGCATGCTTCCAGGGCACAGTCAGGGATCCTGACTGAGCTCTCTCCGAGCCTGGCCTTCTCATGGCCGCCCAGCGTGCTTCCAGGGCACAGTCAGGGATCCCAACTGAGCTCTCTCCGAGCCTGGCCTTCTCACTAAACTACACTCAAAGGAACTGAAAGCCAAGACTAATTATGCCTGGTCCAAGTCCAGAATTAATTGTAAAAATACTGCAGGTTTAAATCTTTCCCCTTCACTTTAGTAACATGTACGGAGGAGTGACATGATTGAGGTTTACAAGATTATGCCTGGGATAGAGCAGGTTGAGAAAGAAGTCCTTTTCTCCCTTTCTCACAATACAAGAACTTTTTGTGGGCACTCCATGAAATCGCTAAGCAGTCAGGTTAGTACAGATAAAAGGAAGTAGTTCTTCACCCAAAGAATGATTAACACATGGAATTCACTGCCACAGGAGGTGGCGGCGGCTTCAAGCATAGACGGCTTCAAGAGGGAATTAGATAAGCATACGGAGAAGAGGTCCATCAGTGGCTATTAGCCACAAGGTACAGATAGGAACTCTCGGTCTGGGGCAAGGGATGCTCTGTATTATTAGTGCTTGGGGGGGGCAACAGTGGGAGGGCTTCTGGTGTCCTGGCCCCACTGCTGGACCTCCTGATGGCACCTGGTATCTTTGGCCACTGTGTGACAGAGTGTTGGACTGGATGGGCCACTGGCCTGATCCAACATTGGCTTCTCTTATGTTCTTATGTCCTTATGGATTTTAGAGTACAACAGTCTTTCTTTATGCAGCCCTTAGGTCAGAAATGCAAATAACACGGTAAAAATAAATTTTTGCAAACATGAATTTTCTGGGTAACAGTAATGAAGCGAGAGGCATTTGCAGAGAATGATCAGGAGGTAGGCAGAGGGTACTTAAATCTTCCATTCCCTGATTTTATCCTGGGAGTTCTTCTTCCCTCATTGTTATTACTCTGGTTCAGTTACAAAGTTGGGTTTCTTAATGGTTTCTCAGCACTCAGGACAAAATCGTGGTCATCTTTTCCATTACCGAAACAGGGGACACAGATAGCAAAACTTACGCTAAAATGGATATCCATTTTTCACATAGAATGACAAGTCATGCTATAAAAGCCATTAAAAGCAGCGTGTAATGTAGAAATAGCACCAAAACACCATAAAAGAAATGTGAAAAGCAGCAGACGGCAGGGCAAGACCGAACCACATACAAGGCATGCACACAAAACTGTGAAGAAACGGAGACTGGCACACTTGTGGGTCTCTGCTTCCCCCTCCCCACCTGCTAAATTTCTTTCTGATCCCAAAGCCCAGCTGAGACGGGGGGGGGGGGAAGCCCTGTCGGGATGGGGGCGCCTCAGAGCACAGGAGAGGCTGGAGAAGCACATAAGCACACTGCTGGATGCACACCTCCCCACCAAGGCTCCCTCTAAGCTGTGGGGTCCTGTGAGCAAAAAACCTACTTTGTGAACAACTGACTTTGTGAGCTGTGAGCCAGCCATTTGGCTACTGCATAAATTAGTCTGCTCTGGAGCCCTCCTTCCTGAGGTGAGACAAAAATGTGTGAGCTGGAGGCTAAAAAAAACCCTGTGAGCTAGCTCACACTAACTCAGCTTAGAGGGAACACTGCTCCCCACCAGTGTTCCCTCTAAGCTGAGTTAGTGTGAGCTAGCTCACAGTTTTTTAGCCTCCGGCTCACACGTTTTTATCTTAGCTCAGGAAAGGATGGCTCCAGAGCAAACTGATTTTTGCAGTAGCCAAATCGCTCACTCACAACTTTCATGCCAGTAGCTCACAAAGTAGAATTCTTGCTCACAAGACCCCACAGCTTAGAGGGAACATTGCTCCCCACCCCCCTGCATCAGCATGATGCCTCCAAATGCAGGGCCAGGAGCTCCACTTGTGCTCCGTAACATGGAGCTCCACCCTCCCAAGTGACAAGATGTCACCTCTTGAACGCCTTTCGCGTTCAGCTCTGGCACCCGCCACACCGAAGCCTCATCTGTCTAATTGCTCCTTGATTGTTTCCTAATGACGCCTTTCTCCTGCCCTGTCGCTCTGAAATACTTCCTTCCCCTATTTTTCCCGCAGCAGCCATTAATGCCCCACGAGGTGAGGGGGATGGGACGGGTGTGTGTGTCAGAGGCTGAGGGGTGACGTGGGGAGCCCAGGATAGCCAGCCCTGGCTTGGCTTCACCGCCGCCCACGGCACAGACGTTGGACACCAGGACGGCCAAGACCAGGAGAAGCTGTCAGCCTGCGGAGTGTTCTTTTTAAAGTTTTGTTTCCAAGATCCACTTACCTTGGGGTTCTCCAAGATCCCGGCCTCGTAGCTTGGGAGAGAGAGGAAAGAAGAGAAGGCTTAGTTAACCATCCGCACTGAAGCCGCCGGGTGCGGTGGCCCAAGAAGCACGGGAGGAGACAGGCCTTCCCATGGCATGGGGCCACTGCCAGCCAGGTCCAAGCGAGGGCTCTGACACAACCCCGTCAAGGGCCTGGGTCTGGCCAGCAGTGACTCAGGCCCAGAAAGGGACGGGGACCCCTTCTCTTTAGCCATTCAAAATATTCATATGCCACTTTTCTGGTGATGCGAAAAGAGCCGTTTCCTTGCTCGTACCCTGCTTGGGGCAACAAGAGACCTCGAACTGGCCCCGGCTGCTGGTCCTGAAGCTTGGCTGCACACTCAGGATCCATTTCTTTGTGCAAGGACAGAGGGCCTGTTGTCCACCATAAGAGCAGACAGCCGGTCTGCAGGGATGTCCAGGAGGAGTACAAATTTTCCCTATTAATATCCGGCATGGTCTATATCTGTGCCCAGATGTTCCTGACAAACAGGAGATGCCCAGTGTCTTGATACCCACTTCTTGGAGGTTTCTGGCTAGAACACTGGATAAGATAGACATTTGGTCTGACCTGGCAAGGCATTTCTAATGGTCTCACCTGATGTGCATGAGGTTTTCATCCATGCTCCAGGGATTGGAGGGTGTCACTGGGATTGGGATGCTGTGCTTCTGTAGAATAGTGGCAGGAAAAGAAAAATAACACTGTGTCAAGACTTCTGCTGTGGGAGGCACAGAGGGTCACATGCTAACGATCTGCTTTTTGGCTTGCCCAGGTAGTGGCTACTGATTCTTAGAAAATATATCTTTTTTCAGAATATTCCATGGAAGAGAAAACAGTTGGGGCAATTGGGATGGACTTACAGTTCCAGGATTCCAAGGGACTGTGTACAATCTGTGCTCTGTCCAGAATACCTCTTGTCATTAGCTCCCGTTCATGAGGCATCAGCTAATTATCCTGGACAATTAGCAAGCCACCAGCCTAACAGGCAACCCTTAACTGTAGGCATTTAAGTCAATCTTCTGGATTTTCTATTGGGAGCAATTTCTCCTTATCACCAGCACACTAGTGGCTGAAACCAAGGAAATCTATACATGTACTTAGCCAGGAACAGTTCTATTATTGTCATTATTATTATTATTCAGGTGGGGTAGCCATGTTGGTCTGAAGCAGCAGAACAAAGTTTAATTCTGGGCATATGCTTCTGTGTGCATGCACACTTAACAGAACCTCCTCAACCTTTACTTACAGGGGGTGAGGGCCATTTACAGTCAAGATGTGTAAGTGTTACTGCCATTCACAGATCTTTCTTACATCCAATCTCAGCTATAATCACCCAGTACTTATGCATTAAATAAATAAATGGGCCCAATACTTGACAGACAGAGCTGCAGACATTTCATCCTTTGCTCCCGTAGCACATGCATCTTAGGGTCTAACTACAAGTTACATTTTCCTTGCACTTCTCCTTCTTCTTCCATGAGGACCTTTTAACTGGCATTGCCTGGGGACTCTTGTGCTGGTAACTCAGGTCCTAGATATTTGGGGGGGGGGGTGATTTGTATCAGGACTGCAGTACAGCAGGAGGAGGGGCTTAAGCTTTCTCCTGCATCATTTTTTCTGACCTAAGGCAGCCCAGGGGAGCCACTTTTTGCCCTGCCAGGAAAACGTGTCTGTTCTGATAGCTCTTTGTAGGTTTCCCCCACGAGGCTGTTTCAGGGTGGGGAAATGGCATGGCGGGGGTGGGGGGGCAGGCTTAAGCCCTTTCTCCTTGTGTGCGGTGTGCTCCCAGTCTGACTCAGGCCCCTGCATTCCTGGGAACTGAGTTTCTAGCACCAAAGCAGCCAGCAGCGAATGGCGCAGGGATGGGGGCTTGTGGATACCATTCGTGCACATCTTCACCCCGCTAAATGCATTTCCTGCTCCTGCATGGAAACAGCCCGAATCATGGAAGTTTCTTGCGGGTCTCCACTTGTTCATTCTACTAGAGAGGTTAAGGATCATATTGTGGCAGTGACGTGAGCTTGTTACCATTGGCAGAAGTAAAACAAATAAGTTGTGATCAGAGTTCAAATGTCTCATTCCCTCCCCTTCCCCATTTTAATTTTGCTTCTCTCTTGTACAAACTGAACTCTTAATCCTTTACTTCAGTGCCAGTTCTTTGCACTAATTTCCCCCCATTAAATGTACAAATTTTCCAACATTATTTGTACACCGATAAATCAGCATGGTGCATTGAACATGTAAATGACATACATGGTTGGGAACCAGCTCTTTCCTTGTCTTCCTCAAAAAGGAAAGAAAAGACCAAATTTCACACCATCTCCAGCAGACTTTTGCAAGCTCTGACAGACTCTTTACTCCTCCCTCCTCCTCCTTCTCCTCCCTCTCTCTCTTTCTCTGTCTTGCGCCTGCATACACACACACACACATGCACGCACACACACGCACACAGAGCACAGACAGCCATAAACCCCAGCTCTGTTACAGGGTCATCCACTCACTCAATTAGCTGGCGACATTTCAGTGGGTGAAATGGTCTGTGAAAACTGGGTGACTAAACGCAGGGCAGGGAATTAGTAGGAGATGTAGCAATGACACGGTTCCCAGACTGACAAACAAGAGACAGCGGGATGCTGATCAGGAGGGTGTTTGGAACTGCCAAAGATCCAGGTGGGGCAGCCGTGTTCATCTGAAACAGCAGAACAAAGTTTCAGCCCAGTGGCACCTTGGAGACCAACAAATAAATAAAACTTTGCTGGTCTTAAAGGGGCCACTGGACTCAGACTTTGTTCTGGAACTGCCAAAGACAGCCAGAATCAGGCCTGGGGGTTGTTTTTTGTTTGGTTTGGTTTCCATCATGAACTTGACTTTTTACAGTTTTGCTGCAAAGCAAAGAGCTATTTCTGTCGTGTTTCAGAAGAGTTTGGTCAGAAAATTCACCCCTTTCCTTTCATTTATTAGCTTCATTGACCAGAGGTCTTAAGCCAAACGTACAAACAGCTACTATAAAACACATTACTGCCCCGGTCACACAGAGATTTTGCCGCGCAAAAGGCATGAATGTCGGGCAGATTTTTAGGACGCAATCACACCGCAACATCTGGGAAGCGTAGTGCACCCGTGGCATCCCGCCAAAGATGCGGAATTAAAAAGTACCAAGGAAAGTGCACTAGTATCCGGATAACGCGTGGCACAGGTAAGCGTCTGATTGCGGGAGCGTTAGTATTCCATGGGATCCAGCGCCCATCCACGTCCCATCGCAAACCGGATGTTTTTCGTAAGCACATGCACACAAACACGAAACCGAAAGCAGTGCTGCTCCGCGGAACTGCGCATGTGCACAAACGCGAAACGCTTGTGTGATTGCGCCACGCCGCTTCTTTGCCACGCTGTGGCATCGCCGAGTGATCGTCAGCTAACAGCCTAAGCATGGAGACTCAGGGGACTGTGTGATCGGGCTACCGTGCTTTATTTTGCTCTGGAGCGAACAGCCACGCCTCCCCCCCCCCCGCGCATTATCTGGCCCGTGTGACCGGGGCCTACATATAACTACAAGATAATTCATCCCTACAGCAGGGGTCCCTAACCTTTTTGAGTCAGTGGGCACCTCTGGGATTCAGACGCAGGAACAACAACAAAATGGCTGCCGTGGGAGGCACAGCTGGCCATAGAATCTCCGGGGGGCACAGTTATGCTGAACTCTCATAGATTCAGGTGGGTGGCCGTGTCGGTCTGAAGCCACAAAAGCTCTGCCGAACAGGGTGCTCTTTAATCTGGCACAGCCAACCAGGAGCCCTGCTGGACACAAGCCCCACCGAGGGTCACCAAGTCCATTTTAGCCCCCAGCGGGGGACTTCGGGGAGCGTTCCCGGAGGGGGCGGGGCATCCCCCGATGTGATGATGTCACGCTAAAGGGATGATGTTAAAGGGAGCCCCTTTAAGTGCAGTGAGAAGGGAGAGGGGTGGCTGCAGGTGTTGGGGCTTGGGGGCGGGACTTCCCCCGTTAGCCAGCTGACCAGCGGCGGGTAGAACCTCCCCAAAGCAGGGGACCCCTGCCAAACCGGGGGGGGGTTTTTGGCAACCCTAGCCCCACCTGGTCCTGCCCACGTTCTAAAAACACTTGGCAGGTGCCCGGAAAGGTGTTGGTGGGAGCTGTGGCATCCACAGGCACCATGTTAGGGACCCCGGTCTAGAAGGAGACGAAGAGAAGAGATTGGATTTATACCCCGCCCTTCACTACCCGAAAGAGTCTCAGAGTGCCTTACGAACTCCTTCCCCTTCCCCTCCTCACAACAGACACCCTGTGAGGTGGGTGGGGCTGAGAGAGCTCTGAGAGAACAGCCCACGCTCCTAACCACTATACCAGACTGGCTCTAGAGTCACCATTGAGCATCTGGGGATTCGGAGTTTACTTATTATGGTCTGAAGCGGAAGTTCCAAAGGATGCCAGGCTGTTGCCCCAAGCAGTAAACCAGCAGTACCAATTCCTCCTCCTCCTCTTTGGGGCGGGGTCTTGGCTAAGCGGTAGAACCTCTGCATTAAATGCAACAGGCCACATGTTCAATCCTGGGCAGCTCCACTTACAAGAAATGGGGAGTAGGTGATGGGAAAAACCTGCACCTGAGATCCTGGAGACCTGCTGCTAGTCAGGGGAGGCAAAAAAGGAGAGGGTGCCACAACAAAATGGCTGCTACGAAGGAGGTTCCAAGTCCAGCATCTTCCTACTTAGGGCAGCTATTTCCAGATGGGCCCTCCCTGCAGACCAAGGGGTGATCAGATGGAGAAAGGCCAGAATTGGCTCTTGGGTGTAGGGGGATGGAGCAAATGGGTCCCTGGAAATGCATCAGTGAGCAACACGGTGCCCACAACAGTTAGAGCAGCCAGTTTGGTGTAGTGGTTAAGTGCACAGACTCTAATCTGATAGAACGGGGTTTGATTCCCCACTCCTCCACTTGCACCTGGCTGGATGACCTTGGGCAAGCCATCGTCCTGTCAGAGCTGTCCTTGAAAGGGCAGTTCTAGAAGAAGAGGAGGAGGAGGAGGAGGAGGAGGAGGAGGAGATTGGATTTATACCCCGCCCTTCACTTGGGAGTCTCAGAGCGGCTTACAAACTCCTTTCCCTTCCCCTCCCCACAACAAACACCCTGTGAGGTGGGTGGGGCTGAGAGAGCTCTTGACAGAAACGGCTCTTTTTCAAGAACAGCTGTGCCAGAGCTTGTGACTGACCCAAGGTCACATCAGCAGGTGCAAGTGGAGGAGTGGGGAATCAAACCCAGTTCTCCCAGATTAGAGTCCGCACACTTAACCACTACACCAAACTGGCTCTCTCAGCCCTACCTACCTCACAGGGTGTCTGCTGTGGGGAGGGAAAGGGAAAGGGAGTTTGTAAACTACTCTGAGACTCCAAGTGAAGGGCAGTGTTTAAATCCAATCTCCTCTTCTTCCTCCTCCTCAGTGGAACAGGCTTCCTCATGAGGTGGTGGGCTCTCCTTCTTTGGAGGTTTTCAAGCAGAGGCTAGATGGCCATCTGACAGCAATGCTGATTCTGTAAACTTGGGCAGATCATGAGAAGGGAGGGGAGGGAGGGTTGCCTCAGTGCTTAGTTCTCATGGCCCTTTTTTACACATCCAGGGAAATGCTGATTGCCACTTTGAGGCCAGGAAGCGAT